ACCATTATATATGAATAAGATTAAAATTATGCCATCTAGTTTCTTATGTAGGTCGATTATTTATATATATATATGGCATGTAAAAAGGGTAAAATTTTGTCAACTTTTACCAAGAAATATTTAATTTTCAGTTTAAATGCATTTATACCCAGAGCCATAAGAATTTCTTCCCTAAATAAATTCACTTCTGCAGACTATATTAAAAAAAACTCTAAAGGAATTCCAGTATGCTGCTCAATACATAAAACAGTCTGTAAATAAATTTGAGAAACACTGATGTAGCCAATAACCAGCTGATACAAAATTTTATCATTATCTTTCATTTTATTGTTAAATACAGTTGGTAATGTACATTCAAAAGAGAAAATTGTAGCAAAGGTACATAATACATCCCTCCTTGAAGTATTGTTTGTTAACTAAACTAATGGTATAAATTGCTAAGGAACATGTTGCAAAATATTATTGAGAAACAACTATTGCTTCTATATGGGGATATGGCAAGGATTACACTTTTGTTATATGAAAGATAACTGAGAAAAGGTATAAGGCATAACATATATATAGGAAATATACTGAGAAGTGGATAGGTTTTCTATATGAATATAAATATCATATAATATTTTTCATTTATATTATATATGAAAGTTAACTGAGAAGTGGTATAAGGCACAGTTTCTTTCTTTTAATTCGGCCTACCAGCAGCCGAGCAGTAAAGTCGTTGAACACTGGTAGTTCGGTCCGACGTTCGAATCCCGCGAATGGGCTGGCTGCATGGGTGTTTTCGTGGCTTTTCCCTTGTGTAACGTGTATACGAGCCAGTTTCCCTTAGGAAGTCCTCCACGAAGGCTTCCCTTCCCTTAGGCAGATAGCCCTGGAGGCTTTGCCGTAATTAAATAACCTAGCCTTTCTTTCAACTCAGGATTGGATTTTATTCAAAATGAAAATGTTAACACCTGAAAGAATTTTCAATTCTTATTTAATGAAGCTAAATTGAAGAAGAAATGTATAAATATGAGAGCTGAGAAATATTTATTTTCTTTCAAAATATGGTAATTTTAAAATTGAAATTAATTTTCATAATGTGGTAATTTTTTAAAATTTTAATTAAATTGAAATGCTTTGTGTTTTGCAAACATTATTATAAATGCTTACATGTACTACTTAAACAAATATGGGATGGTAGTAACCATTTTCACCATACTACACATTTATCCTATATTGAAGCAGCGGTTCCCAAACGTGAAGAGAACAAATGGTAACTAAAATGTTAAAGCCTCAGAGAAGCAATATGATTTGCGACAATCATTAATGGCTTTAGTGTATAGTGCCATCAGATTTAGTTAAAGAATGAGGAAGGTCATTTACTGCTTAATAGCTCATTCATAATTGTCAATAAAGCCCCATTCACATGCAACGCTCCTTCGCACAGCTGCCGTTAGCAAGGGGAGAAAAAGGAGACATGAAAGAGTTTCGTCTTTAGGACCCGTTCAGAAGACCACCGTCCCTTCCCCTTTACACCTAAAGCCTCTATGAACATCACGTCTCCGAATTGGCAGATTTCTAATACTGTTCACACATTTTAATGTGTTTTAACTGTTTAATTTTGTATCTGTACTTTCGCAACTGGTACCTGAACTTTTGAAATGGTTCCTGAAAAATATATGCTTTTTAATTATTTTTTTATAAGCTGTTATTTAGTTCAGTATTGGTGCTTGTCGCTATTGTTAAAAGATGGTTATGAATTTTTAAACTGCTTTCCGATAAGATATAGAACTTTGTACGTCCACAGCTTGTGGATGTGGTGTCACACTTTGATGTTTAGAGGATTAGATTTTTTTCGAACACAAAGTTGAAACGACTTTTTGCAAATATTAACAAACAGAGAATCTCAGAATATTATAGTTTGCACCATAACACACTGTAGAGGAGAAAAAAATAAATGAAAATTTTAGCATAATTTTTTTAAAAAATATTTTGGGAGAATTTTGAAAATCGTTCATACTTTTAGACTTTTGACGCCTTAATTTTTAAAATTTCATATCTAAAAATATATCGGTTACCGAAATTTTCCGAAATATTCCCAGCTTATTAAAACAAAACTTTTCGCATTTAAAAAAAAATGATAAAAGGAAATTAATTGGATGATTTTTTTACTTTTTTAGAAAGACATGCAATGAAGCAGAATGGGAAAATATTGGTTCTTCTTGGGCATCAATTCGAAACATCGGTTTTTCAAAGTAATAATCTCATTATACCACACTATATTTGTATGGACAATTATTTATGCTATTATAAGTTTGTTATTGTTGCCAGTTGTTAGTTCAGAGTGAAGATTGGAGATATATTTCTGAGTTGGTTTTCTTTAAGATGCGCTTCGCATTGCGTTGTGTTTAACGTTTTTGGTAGTTTGAAGCATAACTACTGATTATATTTAGTGATATTCTAAACACTTGTGCAAGTATTTCTGTGGAAAATAAATTCCAGAACTTTGATAAAATAAATTTAATTAAGCTCTCCTCGGATTTGAGTGCAATGGCAATCATTTACTAACTATTATCAATCTATAATCAATCAAAGTTATTTATTATTTTTACTGCTTATTTAAAATTGTTTTGACGTGTTCACAAACAAAACGTAAAGAAAATTTGCTTGCGTTTTATGAGTTTTTGCAATTTTCTGGCCACAAAGGTTTAAAAAAAGGATTGTAATTTAGGTATATTTACCAATGAATAAATAGCACTAGGTTTGATTATATACTATGTGTATTGAAATTCAGTAATAAAATTTTAAAGATTTGAAATGATTAAATGTCTTTAGAGAGTTGAATCTTTAAAGCAAATGAAAACTGAGAAATTTTGCACTTTTTCAATAAATTTTACTCCTAAAACATATACAGGTAGGATTAAATTTTTTATTATTTTAACTGCTTATATAAATTATATACTTTATAGAAAGGATGGATTTTGCAAAATACTTTCGGAAAAAATTATTTGAATGAAATTGTGACTAAGATCATATTTGTTTAAAGATTTTTAGTAAAGTGTATTTTTTTCCCCCAGAAACTAATTCATTAATTGCAAATCATTCCTTGAAGGTTATTAAGAACACTCTAATAAATAAATAAAATGGGGGGGAGACATTGAAAATTGTAGGAGAAGAAACATTTTAATCGTAAAATTTTTCTTCAAAATTTAAATTAAAAAAAATGCTAGCAAAACTTTTTTTCAGCTCAAAATTATTTTGTCTCACAAAACCATTTAATAATATTCATAATATTAAAGGATGATTCATAATTATTACGTAGATGAAAAATGCTTAAATTAAAAAAAAAAAAAATCAAAAGGGATGAAGTCCCTTTTTGCGTTGAGCCGATATGCACTTGTTTTAACTTTAGTTTTAATTGAACGATATTTTGGATTACCTAGCATCAGATAAACCTTGTCTGTATTTGCCTATAAATTCCGTATCTTGTACAGTCTGTCTAATTTTGGGGGGGATGCTATCACATCCCCAGACATCTATCAGCGCGATTGTTTCGCTGACAGTCCGTGAGCAGTAACTAAAAAAGAACGGCAGTATAGTACGGGGAAATCTCCCCATTGCCCTGCCCGAGAGGTAAGAAGCATTCAACCAAGTTCTACCTCCAATTCGGCGAGGCAGTTAATGCTTGTCCCATGTGAACGGGACACGTTGGAAGAACCGGTTTTCGCTACTGGTCGAATCTGCTCTTGTGAACGGGGCTTAAAAGATCTTTGGTGATGCTGTGAGACAAAATATTTAGAAACTTTTCACACCGGCTATTTCCTTAAATATTTGAAACTGATCAGTACGTTTTGGAAAGCAAACAGATTAAGCCAATGGTTGCCATGTAAGGCAATCTCATCTATGGGAGTGCAAAGTTTCTTGGAACTACAGGTGTTTGTTTTGGGGAAGAGTCAGCACGAAATTTCAAAGAAAGGGGGAAAAAAATTGCTACATAAATTATGTCAAAACTTAAAATGTAGCTATCTTTTTCGATTTGTTACTTTCATGTAAAATGGATTGATAAATATATTATATTATTGAGGTGATTATTAATTAACAATTTTAATTGATCCTTTAATTGATCCTGGTGTTTTAACCCTCTTAGCGTTACGGCCGTACAGAAGGCTATCTTCTATATTCATTATACAGGAAAATTTTTGCTAGCTGTTAAATGTATCTGATTTCAGTTTGGATGTATATTGGAAGAATAGGAATCAAGGTAAAAAATGAGATAGTCATTTTTTAATTAAAATGAAGAAAATATCACTTATTCATGACATTTTGAGGAGGGCTAAACCCATAACGCTCGGAGGGTTAAATAGTAAAAGGTTGTATTTCCGTGTGTTTATGGAATGCCTTCAGAGCTTGGGGCCCTTGACTTCTGCTAGATCTACCAGCCACGTGACCCATTTCTGGGTGCTGCAGTATTAAACCAGGAGACTTGATATGGTGTCTGATGTGGCATAAAAACTTTGCATTTGATTTGATATTTGTATTGTTTGAACTCTTCTCACTTGTTATTAATTGGAGTTAAATGGTTTAAAATTGTAATTTGTTGTAATATGTTGTAAATTGTTGTAGAAAATTAATTGTAAATTCACTTCTTTGTATTTCATGTACTTTTTCTCTGAGTAAAAAAGCACAAATTTATGTTTTGGGAAACTGTAATGTGATGTGTTTATTGATCTCATTTACATTCCTTCTCATTGCTTTGTTTGCAAATGTTAATTGCTATATTGTTTTCAAAATTCAATAATATTTTCTGAAAGCAGATATAAAGGAGAATAACTCAGCTAAAACATTTTTTAAATAAATAGAAACATGCATGTTCTGGATTATTTTATACTGGTTCTAAAATTTATAGTTTTATGTTTCATTTTAATATAATATTTAATTTTTTTTTTTATTCAGAAAGTGTATTTTCATTCTTCAAATATACCAAGAGTTTGATATACTTCAAATGAATATCTTTATAGTGCTCTGGAGGAAATACACTGAGTGCTGCTGAATTGACCTGTGGTATGATAGTATCTCTATCTAGGTATTTATATGTATTGTATTATAAAGTACTTTTGCTATTTTTCTTTTTGAGTTTTGCAATTGCTTCTTCTCTGTTGTTGAAGTTTTAGTATAGGAGGAGTATATTATATGCTGAATGTGCTTCTCCTTCTCCTCCTAAAAAAAAAAAAAAAAAAAAAAAAAAAAAAATTAAAATTTGAGAAAGAGCTTTTTAAATGTATGAGAAAATTTGAAATTAAAGTGAGTATTGTGTGTGTTATTGAATAATTTGCTAATATAGCTTACAAAATTAATTTTAAGAAATGTATCTTGCAGCTTTTACAGTATAAATTATTTTTACACTTAGAGAGGAAATTTTATTCCAATGCTTGTATAACTGTATTTCTTTATGTATTTTCCTCCTTTGTTTTACTAATTTTGTCATTCGAAAATCAAGAGGGGGAAATTATCGAAATAATTTAATTTCCAAGTAAAAATATAACAAATGAAACATAGTCATTGATAAACTACAGGTAACTCTCCCAATGTTATTTCTTTAAACGAAACCACATTTGATGTTTTATCACTTTCAACAAATAAGCCATTTGTCAAAACACTCCAATATATAAATTCACGTGTATCTTCTGAAATTTTGAATAAAAACCTGTCATTTTTTGCAGGTATGCTTAGAAATATGTCTACTTTAAGATGATGGTAAAAAATTTATAAATTATAATTCAAAAATGTTTTTGAAAATTTTACAAAAATTATTTTAAAATACAAATTTTAAAGATAAATCATAAAAAATGGGCGAATTTTATTTAGAATGAACCTAAATTTCGAATTTTGAAAGGAAGAATCAAATAAGCTTAATAAAAAAAAGAGGTATTAATAAATATATACCAAAGTCAATTCACATGGAGGAGGTAAAATTTTGGGAGCTAATTTTTTAAAAAGTACTTGTGCGATTTTACAAAACTTTGCCATAATTTAAGTCGTAGAATCGAAATATGGAACAAAATTGGTATGTTATTTCAGGAAAAGTCCCAGTTTGTATCAAACCTATATAGAACATGCTATATATAAATCTAATACATATCCTAAGTTGCACTTTCAAGGCATGAAAAACGCAAGTTGAATTTCGTCAATCGGTCCAGTAGAACGGGAGATATAGAACTGTCCCATTATTTATTTCACAGTATACAGTTGATCTACTGTTGCTTTTAGTAGTAAATATGGCTCCTTCGAAATGAAACAAATGCAGCACTGGTTTCAAATGTAAAGTCTTTCAGTTTGCAAATGAAAATGGAAATTGTGCTGCAGCAAGGATGTTTCATAATGGGGAAAGCTGCATACTTAGTCGAAAGAAAGGAAATCACAATGATAAAATGCATAAAATAATAATGAAATGGCTTATTTTAGAAGAAAGTGTTGTGAACTGGTTCCTAGAAAATCGCTGGAATGGGTTAATTGTAACAAGAAACAGCATACATTTATTTACCTTAAATTAGCCAAAAAAGAATGCAATGAAAGTGAAAACTCTAAAGCAACTTAGAGTTGGTGTAGTTGGTTTATGGACTGATTTAGTTCTAAGATAAAAGGTAAAAGATTTGCAAAGGCTTCTGAAAGATTTGGACAACAAATTGATAAGTTTCCAGATGTATGTTATTGACCTACAAAGGGAGGAAAAAAAAAAAAAAAAATTACTTTCACATATTGGAAATTTAGATAAAACTCCAGTACTGTTTAAAATGATAGGAAATAAAACAATTGATGTGAAAGAAATAAAAACTGTTCACATGGTCACAAAAATCTCACCTCACCACAGTGCTTTCCTGCTTGGCGGATGGTATAAAATTAAAATCCATGGTTATTTTTAAAAGAAAGATCATGAAATATAATATCCCAAATGACATTTTAATTCACGTTCACGAGAAAGGATGGATGGACAGAAACAATGTAAAACTGGAAAAGAAATGTTTGCTAAAAGCATCCTATTGCATTAAAGAATCCAGTCTTTTAGTTTGGGACATGTTCAGATCCATCTAGTGGGTAATGCGAAGAGATTGTTGAAAGAGTGTAATACAGACATGACAGTTATGCCAGGCAAAATAATGCTATTAATTCAACCTTTAGATATATGCATCAATAAACCATTCACAGAAAATTTAAAATGACATTGGAATAGGTGGATATTAGAAAGTGAAAATACGTTTACAAAAGGAGACCAAATGCATCATTCCAGTCTAGAAATAGTGTTCGAGTGGATAATAAAAACACGGAATGAAACTAAACCTGATATAATTAAAAATCACTTAAAAATGTAATATATTTAGCAATCTACATGGAATGGAAGATATTTATTTATTTATGGATCAGAGTAACAGTGATGTTGAAGATGAAACAGAATACGATGATGTGCCTGAAGTTATAATAGAAGTTGAATAAGATGAACTTTTCATGTTATCAGATAATGAAAATTTTTAGTTCAAAAGGTATGTCATTACTTCTAAATAAAGAACATTTAGCTACATATCAAAATCTAATTTTTGTAAGCTTATCTTTCCCTTATTTTTAAATCTATCATTTTTATATCTGGCGTATACTACACATGCGTAAATTTTGATTTTATATTTAGCATTAAAAATGTGTGTCGTACACCACAATATACATTAATTCTAACTGAATTTGGTTAATAAAAAGTTAACTATAAAAATGCTCATGATTTTTATCTAAGATTTTTATAGAATTAGATATTATTTTTATTAGTAAAATAATTCCATTTTTATGTTTTTATAAAAGTTTTTCTTAGTTTTATATAAAAATTTATTGTAAAAAGATTTTTAGTTGGATTTTTTTAAAGTATTGTTTCATCTATTTGTACAACTTAAAAATCTACATTGAATCAATGTTGCTATTTTTAGAAACATTCCAGAAGCTTGTGCTTCCCTAAAGAGTGGAAAATGGGAACGAAAAAACTTTATGGCAAGTGAATTATTGGGAAAAACTTTAGCAATCATTGGACTTGGACGTATTGGCAGAGAAGTTGCTTCACGAATGCAGTCATTTGGAATGACAGTATGTACACTGAGTTAAATTTTTATATTAGAACATGTTATAAAAAAATGCTACCATATCTCATAGCAACTAGTAATCAAGAAAACTTTGTGATTTTCTTTATTTTGTGTTTTTAGACGATTGGTTATGATCCTCTGGTTCCTGCACATGAAAGTGTGAAATTTGGAGTAGAAAGTATGGAGCTTGAAAAAATTTGGCCTGTTGCTGATTATATTACTGTTCACACACCTCTGATACCTCAAACTAAAAGTATGTGATTTTTCAAAAATATATTTACAGATACTGAAGTTTGTTTGAAGATGTATGCAGATGTTAGTTTTAAGGTGTTAATTATTCAGAAGACTATTTCATATTTCTGAATTATAAAATATAATCTTTTAGACTAGATATATATATATATATATATATATATATATATAATGTTGTATGATCTTAAATTCATTTAGTGCGAAAATAGCTAGTTTTATAATGAAATAAATTATTAGCAATAAGTAAATAATCAGAGGTAATTAAACAAAACTAAATAATGTTAAAATTGTCAGACATTACATTATGTCTTAGAAATAAATGCAAAATTATAAAATGTATTATGTAAAATTATAAAATGAAATATTAAAATTATTTTATAATGAAATTATAAAATGTCTAATGCAAAATTATAAATGTCTTATAAAATGAATAAATACAAAATGCCTTAGGAATAAATGCATCAGTATTTAAAATTAAGAAACAAAATTAAGTAGTTTTAAATGTGAAATTTTTTAATGTGCTTAAAAATATGAAACTCAGTGCTAAATTCTTTGAAAAGTCACATATAAGTTGTCTCTTTCTCTTTCTATATAAAGCGTATATGGAAACTGGAATATATGTTACTTAGAAAATGCAGAAATGTTTTTAATTGCTTAAAAAGAAAAGTTATTTTTATTGGCTGAAAATTTGAAATCTAATCCATTCTTTTTAGTTAAGTGTTAATTATTTTAAGCACATAATCTTTTCATCAAAATTTTGATACAATTATCCACATTTATTTTATTTCTTTTTGTTTTCAATTTAACTTTATTTAAGGATGAAATTATGCTAGAAATAAAAATTTTCCTTTTTAATCCACAATGAGAGGAGGGGATGTTTATGATGTCAGATGTACATGTTTATGTTAAGTATATGTTTTCCCTAATGGTTATTGTTGTTTCTCCCCTTAGTTAATCATGAAATAAATTATTTCCTTTCTCTTAATTTTCTCTAAGAAGGGTTATGACATAAATACCTTCTTTCATTACTAAAATCTCATATTATGTATCACTTAAGTATATTTGTTTTTGAAGCTAATGCAATTATACGTGTATACATTTATGTGGTAGAAAAGGTTTATTTCTGATGGTATTGCACTAATTTGAATTATGATTTTATTTTTTACCTTCTTTGTGTTTGAATTAATTTGAATTTTTGAATTAGTGCTCATGCTATGTCATGTTCTGTAAAAATTTGATCTGCTTTTTTAATGCCCTGAAAATAAAATCTCTTACAGTAAATATCATTCTTTAATCTTTTTATACTAGTCATGTGCAAAATGTGTTGCTTAATGTTTGAATGGTAGCAATATATATATCCGAAGAAATTTTTTAAAATTAATTTTACTCATATTTAGTAAGCATTGTTTTAAATTTATCTAGCTTGTAAGTGAAGAAATTAGATATTGTTCAGAGTAATACGTAATTTCTTTTTGTAGATTTAATAAATTTGGATGTATTTTCAAAGTGTAAAAAAGGAGTGAAAATTATTAACTGTGCTCGTGGTGGAATTGTAGATGAAGATGCATTACTAAGTGCTTTAGAATCTAGTCAGTGTTCAGGTGCCGGTCTAGATGTGTATCTAGAGGTAATTTTTTTTTTCTTTTTATATATTTAACTAACAAATGCACAATTCTTCAAATAATTCTACTGTAAATTTTGTATGGGGATATGTGTGAGATTCATGTGATAATAAAGCTGTGCAAGAATGTCAAGGCATTCTAAAATATTCTTTCAGTTTCTTTTAAAATGCGGCTGCTACATTATTTCATATTTGGTTCATGTTATTTTAGGAAGAGAATTTACTGTACTAGCTTGAGAATTTAAATAAATTGTCAAAATAGTGTAGCAAATTTTTTGAGAAATGTATTTATGCGTTCAATTTCAACATAAAGTGAAATTGAATGTAACATAATAAGTTTTATAATATTTTAAAATCACTGTGAAGCAAATACTGTTAAGTTAGTTTTTTAAGTTATTAGTTTAAGTTATTAGTTTTAAGTTATTAGTTATTAGTTTTTTAAGCTGTAATAAATGTCATGGACCAAACAAAAACATTAATTGACCTGAGCTGTAAATATAAGTTATAGCTTAAAGGATTAATAGCAAACAGTAAAGTGTAATTATGTTGTAGTTTGAAAAGTTGTTTTGTAGGAGAGATGTTTGATCAAGTTTTATACTGGAGTTTATCTGAGCTAATGTAGTCAATTCCATGTATCGACTAGATCCACTATACTTGAAGCTCAAATTTTTTCAGCTTGTTTCGCTGTGAGGAAAAACAGGTTTTGGAACTGTGTTGGCTATGTTAGATGTCTCTGTTAGCTTGCATAAACCCCAGTGTGAATGGCCCTTAACCCTTTATCGGGCCCAGGCCATTTATTTTCAAAATTCATATTTTATGCAACTATTAGAGAAAAGTAGCTCGTTTATGACCAAAAATACTATTTTTGGAATTCGGTTGTTGTTGTTTATAATAGGGGTGGTAACATATTTACCACCGCCCGGTATAAGCAATGGCATTTTACTGTGTAGTGCAAAAGAAAAAAAATCTTAATTACAAAAATATCACTAATAAACATGTATTTTTGATGAAAACTATTTATTCTTTATTATTTAAATATACATATAATATAAAATCGATGATTAATATAAAATGATCATAAGATAAAATTACAGATATAAATATATCCAAATGAACTACTTCTACTGAGTTTAATTTTTAATTTTTATTTGATAACATGGAAGCAGCACACAAGGGAACACCACATGTTGAACATAACACCTTGGTACGTTTCTACGTTTCTGATTTACTTTTGTGCTGCAATATTTTCACCTTCTGTAACTTCCTCCTCTGACTGGCATGTGTGTTCTAACGTTAGTTGTTTCGGATTTCCCCTTGGAATAGCATTTTTCCTTTTTTGCTGATACCCAGTTTGGATTGCAGTTTTCGTTTTTTACTAGAGAAGCCTCCAATTAGGCTGCGAGCTACTTCTCAACCTAAATTCAAGTCTTTTTCCTAGTGTAAACTTCAGACTGATATAGGTAACCAATTGATGCGTTTTGATCTAGCCCAAATCTTATAACTCTTTTTACAGGCTTCCCTGGCATATATTGCTTCATTGTGGACCTTTCCTTTGAATTTTACCCTGTTTTTCATCAATAGATTGAAGTCTGAATATTTTTATTGAATTTTTATCTAAATGGGTGATCAAAGAACGCATTTACTGTAATTTGTCAAATTCTGGCTCATTTCAAGGGACAGCCTTTTGATTGCCATTGATATGCAAATTTGAAAGGATATTTTTTTAATCTCTTTGCTGGCATAATTGACGAGATTTCTTGATTATTGAAAAAAAAGAGTCAGAAGACCAGTACAAATCTAAGGTAATTTATTGATCCCCTTCATAATTATGATTTCCCAAAAAGCCTGCAGTTCTTGCGTGAGGGAGTCCTTTTTCGGAATCTTCAGGATCTGAAGGCAGTGCAAAATAATGCTCTACAGCTTCCTCGGTGATTAATTTTTTTTTTCTTTTTCTTCAATGCATTTACCTAAAATAATATTCATTACATTTAATTAGTTACTTATATTTTGAAATCTCTTGAACATACTGATCAAAATATTACCTTTATAGCATTCTAAAGTAATATTTTAATTATAATTTCTAAATACATAAATATTTGTGTAATCGTAAATGAACGCTAAAATATTTTCCATAATATTTATAATAATTAATATTATAAATAATTAATTATTGAAATGCTAATATAAAAGTATTAGATATACAAAGAAATCAAGTACCATGCCAAACAAAAGGCTATTTCTAAAGCGAAACATATTAGTAAAACTGTGTTTCTATCAGGCAGTGGTAAATTATTTACCACCTCTAAAATCACTAAGCGTGCCGTGGTAAATAATTTACCACCAAATTCAAATATGTATAAAACAAAATATATTTCGCTATAATTTTTTAAATGCCTAATACAATTTAAGCTATCAAACCTTTAAGGATACAAAATATATGAATATATAGCTTTTAACATATTTTTATATATCATTACACAATAAAATAAGAAAAGAGTATGTGCTTACCCTCTCCATTTTGCTTGAAAACTGGATGAATGCAGAAATGTTGCGGTTTATGTGGCCTCTACAGCCATCTATTACAGAAAATGTGAAGCTCTGGTTCCAGAGGAAAATTCCTGATATCGGGCGCTGCTGCTAGAAAACAAATTTCTTAGTGGTAAAATATTTACCACCACCTGTAAAAGGGTTAAAAGCTGCACCATCATGAGTGCCTTTTACTGTAAACTTCTGCAGTTGCAAATCATTTCTATTTTACAAGAAGAATGTTTAGGAACTACCCTCTTCATATAAGACAACACGCTATATTGGCTGACAAGTGAAGGCATTGCTTACTTTAGAGACTGTGAGGTTTTCCAAATGCTTGTTTTCCTCATTCTCCATCTCTGTGACTTCTGTGAAACATGAAAAAGATTTCTTCTGCATAGATCTATATAACCAACCCCTGTAATATATTTCACATGAAAAACATCACTGACCAAAAATGTGCCATCCAGGGCAAACTGCTTACTCTCTAACTATACTACTGACTAGTCGTTCCTATTTGTCACATTATCAGAACTTTAGAACACTACTTCAGCAACAATGCTTTATATAATTAGCACAGTTTGATTGTATGTGATGTAAAACAACTATTACTTTGATGAATGCCAGTGTCTGATGTGAAAATTTAATATTTTTAATAATAATCATAAATAAGATATTTTTTTCATTGTACAAATGACAGTTTTGTAAGGAAATAAAATTTGCTGCATATTTCAAAATAACCTTTTCAACTATATTATATTTATTGTATTAATTTACTTTTTATATAGCCAGTAATAAATACTTTTTTCGATCTTTTGCACTGACTGTCATTCCAGACATGCCAACATAAAGCATGGTTACTTCTTGGCTGGCACCCTGGTGTGACAGAGTATTTTCTCTTTCACCCCTGCCCATCAGGTATTCATGTCAAAATTTCGGGACATTTTAAAAACTAAATTTTTTGTGCAAGATGGCATTATATGAGATTTGAGATACATGAAGATTTGACCTTCTATATGTATCTTCTACCCAAAATGAGACAAAGATTGTTCAAAGACAGTAAAATTCTGATTATATAAACATGAGGTGAAAGACATGTTCTCGATTGCAAGCTTCATTCGGTATTTGTGCAGGTCTAAATGCTGTGGGAAGTTTTTTTTTTTTTTTTTTTTTTTTTTTTTTTTTTTTTTTTTTTTTTAATAAATCATTTAGTTTGTAGTACAGTTTAGTAGTTTGCAGTCCAATTTCTAATCAGGAATTCCATTATATATGTATGCAAAATATTTCTATTTTAAGTATTGTATTTAAGTATTTTAAGTCCAAAATCTTTAACAAAGTATGTGAAGGTACACTGCGGGGAAGAAAAGGGGGGACAGTTCTATATCTTCCGTTCTACTGGGCCGATTAACAAAATTCAAATTGTGTTTTCCATGTCTCGAATGTGCAACTTAGGATATATATTAGACTTATATATAGCTTTGTTCTAACATAGGTATTTTGACCCAAAGTCGGACTTTTTCTGAAATGACATGCCAATTTTTTTCCATATTTTGATTTTATATTTCAAATTATGCCTAAATATTAAATTTTGTAAAATTTGATATGAAATTTGGATCTCTTTTTTTTTTCAGTTTGTGCCAAGAATAATTCACTTGGCAAATTTCTTAATTTATAGCAACCTATTTTCCCTTCCTCTTTTCATTGTAGATGAGCGGGGAAAAAAGTCATTATTAATGCTTTTAAATAATTTTAACAAAGTGCGTAAACCACATCTGTCGTTATTATTGCTTATAACAAATATGCCAAATTTTAAAATGTGCCAATATGTAAAAATTCATGTACATCCTAGGAAATTTTGAATAAATAATTTTTTGCAGGTGTGCTTAGAACTACATCTGCTTTAAGATGATGGTAAAAATTTTATAGGTTATAATACAAAATTTGTTTCGAAAAATTTATGAAAATTATTCAAAAATACAAATTTTAAAAATAAATCGTAAAAATGAACGAATTTTATTTGGAATGAACTTAAATTTCGAAATATGTAAGGAAGAATCAAATAAATTTTAATAAAAAAAGATATATTTATAAATATATACAAGATTCAATTAACATGGAGGAGCTAAAATTTTTAAAAAGTGCTTGTGCAATTTTTACAAAATTTGGCAGTTTAGCATAATTTGAATTGTAGAATCGAAATATTGAAAAAAATTGGCATGTCATTTCAGAAAAAGTCAAATTTTATGTCAAAATGCCTATATTAGTACAATGCAATATATAAATCTAATACATATCGTAAGTCATGCTTTCAAGACACAAAAAATGCAAATTGAATGAATGAAAATGCTAGTTTAGTTGAAGTAGAACGGGGATATAGAACTGTCCCCCCTTTTTTGTGTATTGTACATCTAGTTAAATCTATGAGGGCGATGCTTCTTTATTCACACTCTGTCAAAAACCTCCAAAAAGTGCAAATGAGGTGTTATATGAATGCAAGAATTATAACATAGGACTGTGTGTAGATCTCTGCTTAGAAATTTATCACACTAAAAATGAATTTTAAATAAAATGTTTATTGCCAATTGTATAATGTCAAAAGTCACTAACAAGGAAGTAAATACTGAAAACAAATTAATGTGCAAAATAAAAATTTTTAAACAAGAAAAGGAAAAAAAAATATGTATAGGAAATATGTAAATAAAAAATAAGTAAAACATATACCACATGTAAATTTTACAGAACATTATTAAACAACATGCTTATCTTTCTGTAATTTTGTGGATTTAGGCATAATAGTGAAAAACTCTGCATCCCTGGAAAGGTGCTGTAATGCATTTTGCAGTTTTTATCGAAATAACAGATGAGCTTCATAGTAAAACATAAATTTTATTATCAATTCACGAAGATAGATAATTTAAAAAACAATTTACCCATTACAGCTTCCCACTCTAGCTTACTATTACAGTTTTTTTCTCAATAAATTTTTCATGCATCTACTACCAACTTTCAGAAGAACTTTCTAAACATTTTTTTATGTTGCTCAGCAAGGTTTACACGTTACAAAATATGGCATTGCCACTCCAATGTCAAGGATAATAAATATAATTATTTGTTAAATAATAAAATATTACAACACTCACAAAAGAAACAGTTGGCTCTAGAAGTACGTATGTGGTTGTACCTTTCATCTCGAAAGGGTATTTAGTATGTATTAGAATTTTGTTGATTGTGAAAACTGAATATATAAAATAGTCATAAATATATTTCAGTTATGATCAGTAAATGACCTGACTAATAATTGCAGTTGTGTTATGTATCAGATTATACAATAATTTGAACCTCTTTTTTTTCCTTTTCTTTATTATTAATTTTAACATGCCAAAATGTGTGTTCTTTTTTCTGTACATGATACCAAGAGATAATCATTCATTATCTGTGTTTTTCAACATTGTATTTTATTGTTCATGTTCAACCACATTAAGTAATTGAATTTACATAAACATGATTCTTTTTTCTAAACTTTCACATAAAGAAACTCGGATGTGTTATATCAGGAATTCAAACATCTTAGAAAATCAATCCATATAACATCTCTGTATGCTTTTATGTGGAGGCTTGTAAGAAATATTTATGTAACCATTTTATATGATATTGTTTAACTTATTATGAATGAATTAACTTTTTAGAACAGTGGCATCAGAAATCGTGTGTAACATATGGTGCGAGATTGAATGTTGATTGAAATATTGTACATTCCATTAAACAAGCTTATGTTTTGCACAAAATGAGCTGCAAAAGCACAAAACAAGCTTATGTTTGAGCTCATGTTGTTTTAAAATTTACTGCATACCTCCTTTTTTCACTAATATTATCAAACAAAAATCATCAGGGGAAATTATGCAAATAGTTTCATTTTCAGTCTAACAACATAACAAATAAATAACAACATAGTAATTTAAAAGTATTCATGAATAAATTACCAGTAACTATCACAACATTTATTTAAAGGAATCTTGCATTCCAATAAGAATACATAGTAATACCTATAATAATAATAATAATAATCTGCAATATCTAATGTAATATCTTTCTTTCCACTTCCTGTGTCTTGAATATCATCTACTCTTATTATTGTCCGCCGCTACTCCCTAGCCCTCAAATTATTTAATGATGCTGGAACTATTATCTGTGTTATCAGCTACAGCAAGTCATTGCCATCATCACCATTCAGTCTGTTTTCCCACATGCCATGATCTTCAGAACTATCATGAGCATTAGATATCCCTGTTTTCTTGATGTTCTTTGATATTATTGCTTCATCAGTCAGAACCTATGCATCCAAAAGCAATGACCAATTAAATAAATATGGCACATACAATTACTATGTGAACAAATCCATTTTAAAATTTGGGGAAGATCATTTTCTGATTCCCTTGAGAAAGGGGGAAAATTATGTGAATACTGAAGAAAGTGTTCAGAATCTTGTGCTGACAAAGCTGAGGATGAAAATATGCAAGGGGGAAAAATACGCAAGTAAATATGGTATGTATAAAAAAGTGATGTGTAGTTATTCAGGTAGTTTTTTGTCAGAAAACTGAGCTACTGTATAATTTGCTACACAGTACTACTGGATATGTTTTTAGATATTGTTTTATTGTTATTGAAATACATTTTGTGACTACGCTTATGTTTATTTTACTCTAATTTCAAATAAAGCTAGCGTTTTTTAAAAAGTTTAACTTGGCTGTACTATAGCTATAAATACTGGATGATTCTGGAGCTAAATCACACATTTCATACTTGAATATTGTACTATGGTAGATGAGAGGATATCTTATTATGTCATGGAGTGTTAAAAAAGTCTAGGCTGTATTCACAGACAGATGTTTTTCAGGTGTCCTTCAAACTCATTTTCCTTGTTTTCACAACAGCAAAATAGGGTTATAAGGAATTAGTGGGTGATTTTTAGGGCCCTTTAAAGCATGTAGCACTGTGCCTAGGCAGTAATCTGTCTTATGTGTCTCCTTAACTAAGAGGGCCCTCTTAATGTGTCTTGTTAATTATATGACAGCATAGAGCTTCCACATGTGCTTGCAAGAATGCATAGACATGAATACATGGTGTTGTATCATAATTGACCATTTTTTTTTATGTGCATAGGGATAAATACTACACTTGGGCATATCTGTTAATGGTTTTCATAATTTTTTATTGTTTCTCTCTCTATATGATCATTCAAAATGTGTTTTAAAATGTGTTGGTCAGCTCCACATTACCCTATATAAATTATTTGTATCTTACTTTGTATTTGATGATTAACCCTTTTTTTACAGGAACCTCCTAAGAATACTAAGCTTATTCAACACCCAAAAGTGATATGTACCCCACACTTGGGGGCAAGTACTTATGAAGCACAGAGTCGAGTAGCTGATGAAATTTCAAATCAGTTTGTTGAATTGAATGCTGGAAGATCTGCTCATGGCATAGTATGTATATTTATGAGTGTTATTAATACTATGAGTTGAATATGATAACTTCATATCTAGCTATACATGTATTCTATCATAACATCTTGAGAAAGTTGTAGTGTCATGTACACATATCATATATTTTGATGATAAAAAGCATATATTAACTGTTGTTTTGTATACTTGGATCTGATAGGAGCCTTATGTGTTATATACAGTCAAAAGTCTTTAACCCTTTGATGGTTATGGAAATGAGCAGTTTCCGTTTACTTAATTCGCGCAGCATTAGGAGTAAACAGTAGTCGAAAGTGGCAGCTGTTTTCCCCCGCCATTCTTCTGAAAATGTCACCTTTCTCTGGCAATGTTGTAGATAGCTCGCCTCGTGCGTTTTAAAAATTTCTTAAAGTATTTGTAGTACATAAATAACAGTTTTTACGTACTTTAAAATAATTATTAAACAGTAAATTATAAATGATTATAACCAATCATATAAATAATAATAGTTAATTATAAATATAAGACAAATATTAAATTGAAAAGGACTAAATAAATACACTAATGTAAAACTTTATGAAGCACAGTATAAATACAGTAATTACCTAAAAATCTTTTTGTGTGTGATATACTTTAAAACATGAAATTGCACATAATGGGGCATTACAGTCTTTGCAATACGTACGTGTTTCACGGCGAATTCTTTTTCCATTAGCATCATTTTTGCTGCAACATACCACACATCGTCTAGTAGGTTCTTTCTAATAGAGAATTTCAGAAATATTTGTCACGCAAGCTTTCATGCCTACATCACCAGTAAAATTAAATCGGCTAGGAGCGTGAGAACTTGAATCAATTATACACCACTGTCGAACACTCGAAAAATCTTCCTCATCGCTTGAATCGTCTTCTGACTTGAAATACTGTGAACAAAGTCTTCATCAGATTCAAAACTTGATAAGCTTTCTGTATCACAATCATAATCATCATCATACCTATCTAACTTTCGCTTTTGAGCCATTTTACTGTACAAACACCCTAAAAACCGTGCCAAAATACGTAATAAAATGAACAAGGCCAAAAAAAAAAAAAAAAAAAAAAAAAAAAAAAAAAAAAAAACCACCTTCATTATGCAAAGAAATTAATGGAACTCATACTGCCATCTGTAGACAGTAAAACTAACTAAATTTCGCGAGTAGCATTCCTTTGAAACACAATCAGTGCAGAATAATAATGGCGAACGAAGTCAGCTCGTCAGCACGCATTGGGGAAAAATTTCACTATGCGAGTAGTGCTCGTTACTAACCATTTCGGTCAAAATCTTGCTCCCGAGCAGAACTCGTTTGCGCGCATTATGAAGCACGATTCGATTGCGAGCTGAACTCGTTCATAACCATCAAAGGGTTAATCCGGATGTCTATAATCTGGAATGATCTATAATCCGGACCTCAAAGCTACAAACTTTCTGTGCATGCATAAACACATAATTGCGTTTACGCATGCGCATATGTATCTATGCATGTGCATAATACGTTTACGCATGCACGTTTTATGTATAACGGACGGTATAAGCTAAGCTAAAATTATCTAATTATCTATTTCAGCTAATGTTGCAGATTGCATTGTTCCTTAATCTTCGAATTGGATCCGGCTTATTATTTTTTGCAGACTGTTAGAGCAGTTTTATAAAAGTAAGCTTGAAGTTTCGATTATGTCAAAAAGAATTTCCGATTCTGGAGCTTTCACGCTGCTCTGCAGAGGGGAGGGGACGTCTCGGCGGCGCAATGAACTGGAAGTTGATCTGTCAGCACTATCTTATCTTCGGGGCAGATGTTTTTATTTTATTCGGCTTATAATTCATTACTAAATGTGTAGTATTTCATCTCGATGTACTCTGTCTTTGATATGATTTAAAATCAAATTCCTCTTCATTATAAATATCACGAACACACATCAAATAGTTTTTTCTGGTTGCAATTTTCTAATTTCGACTATGCGTAATGTATGCTTTACGCATGCGTGCATTGAAAGAAATGTTTAATAAAGTAAACAAATAAATATTAACCTTTTTTTTTTTTTTGGTAAATTTTGATACCATTTAGATCATAATTGTTCTTTATTTCGTAAATTATGGTTTAATATTTTTAATTTTATAATTTCTGCATGCCATCTTAGCAGATTTAAATTGATGATTTATAATCCGGAAAAATCGATAATTCGGAATCGCCAAAGTCTCGATGAGTCCGGATTAAAGACTTTTGACTGTATTGTATGTTTGAATTTTAGCAGCATAAATGCTAAGTTTTTCCCTTTAAAATGTTTTGTTTCTTGATAGAATTTCATTTAAAACATTTACATGCACTGGGATAATCAGTGCCATAGCTAAGGAGAACAAGTGCCATAGCTAAGCAATCCAGGAAGCATCCAGGGATGTTATGAAGTTTCAGAATGAAATGTGTTTTATTCTTGGCAAACAGGAGGGGTTGAAAATCTTGTCTCCTAGCTCTCGAAACCCTAGGTATGACTGAGGATAATAAGCCTAAACATTTAGATATGTCTTAAAAAAATATGGCAAGATTTAGCTAAGTATTTGTAAAATACAATAAATACTTTCTGAGTGTGGGGTTTCTATTAATAACACAGTGCAATTATGGCAAAATATGATTTTGCCATAATAGTTAAAAGTTAACTTTTTGTGAAAAAAATGTGTTAGGTATAAATTAATATGTATGATTGAAAAAGACTTAACTGTACTTAAAAAATAAGCGAAACAAATGCTAATTGAAAGGATTTTCATCGCTACTTCGAAAGTACAACAATTTTTTTTTGTTTAAATGCTGGTGATTTTTGCTGGGGACAATGTCTTATGCAACTCTTTCAAAGTTTCATGATAAGGAGCAAGAATTTTTCAATCCTGTTATAAAATATCCTTTCTCCTTAATTTGGCTCTGTCTTCATTGCAGAATCAGTTAGTTGCTATGCCTTTTTGTAGCAAGTCATTTAACTTCTAAAATAAAGATGCTTTATCCTCTGTTTATTATTACTGTTTTCGCTGCCAGCTGGTTTATAAGATCACTCCAATTTTTCATTTATCATTTCTCAATTAATTTTTTGACTTCTGTTTGTTCCATATATGAAAGTCCTTCACCACCAATTGCTTTTGGAATCTGATTTTTTTTTGGCTTCATTTATTTGTACAAAATATCAAATAAAAAACAAATTTAAAATTCATGTTTCTAGGTGTACATGTTCGGAATGCAGGAAAAATTTGAAGGCTCTTGCTCCTGTCATTTGTCCACAATGCAAGGAACATACAGATTATTCATTATTTAATTTCTCTAAAAGTAGTACATGACAATAAATAACATTTAGTGGCAACAGTTTGAAAACTGATTAGAACAAAGAAGTATGTTTTGAGACCAAATAGTACCTCTGCTGCTAATAATATCTGATGTAATTCAGAAGATAAAATATAAGAATTTGATCTTAGAACTGTTTTCTCTAAGTAGGTGTTTTATAAAATTTACTATTCTAATCTATTTAATTCCATCCAAAAGATCATTTATATGTCAGAAGTTTTATCATGTATCTGAAAAAAAGTGTTTTTAATGTATTGAAACTGAGATGGGAGAATTTTTTAAATCAACAGATTTATCAAGAAGAATGTTTGAAATTTACATGTTATTCATATGATGTATTGCGAAACTGCTGATTGTGTTTCACACCATTTTCTTTAATAGTAATGAAATTTTGAAAAGTATTTTAAATAATAGCTTAATTTTTCCAGGTTAATTCACCTGCTTTCTGTTTATCAATGGCAAAAGTAAATAAGCCATGGGTTACTCTCACAAAATATGCTGGAGCACTTGTATCTGTGTTATTTCCTGAAACTGAAAGGGATCTAAGCTTGACATTGACCGTGCACGGTATGTTAAAAGTTTTATATTGTAAAATATTTAATTGGCTGGAATAAAATGTTACTTTTCTGCTTTTAAAACCACTTTAAAAATAAATTGAATTTCTAATTAAAATGGAATTATTCAGTCTTTTATTCCTACCAAGTAAGCAAACAATTCTCAGAATAATAATTTGTTTCTAGCATAATTTATTCTGGGAATGTTGTCTACATACTTTAACATTTTTATGCTTGCAGATTGATTTTACACCTATGATTAAATATAGGCAGCAGAACTTCTTCAATGTTGAATCAATTAATGACTCAAATTTAATGTTTAATGTAAGGTTAAAACTAATTGTATCCAAGGTAATAAGCTCATGCTTAACTTCTCTGGACTGTTGATGATTAATCATCCCATTCTTAATTTAGAATACAAAAATTCTAAATGGACACAAGTAAAAAAAAAAAAAAAAAAAAAAAAAGCAAGAGCACAGCAAGTACAAAAGTGAACTAAAAGTTTAATCACTATGATTAGATACTTGACAAATAAAGATTCAACAAACTTTTAAACTTAATGCCACTTCTTGTGGGCTTTGGAAAGCAGCAAGTATTAAAGCAACTACTAACATGAAACATCTAAAACTCCATTGAACTCCATGAAAAAATTTCTTGATAAACAGTCAGTGTGCTTGATTGCCGAAATTGATAAATTTAACTGCATAATTTATAATATGTAAATCCCACCGAAGACTTATGCAGTGGCTGCTTGAACAAGGAAATGCTTCTGGCTCCTTCAGTTACATATTAGCAAAAGCTAGAAACTCACAAAAAAATATAATTACCTAGTTGTAAGTAATATAAGAGATACAGTGCCACTGATTGAGTTGCCAAACCTTCTTCTCTTATACTACTTTCACTCACTATTTAAAATCCACTGAGTTTGAAGTTCTGGTGAGATTAAAGGCAGAAGGTAGAATTATAGGATAAACTTAACATTAGAAATGATAAGTTAATTAAAATAAACCATAAAAAATTAACTTGAACAATTGTATACCAGTTAGTTCCATCTGCTTGAAGTCACCAAGGAGATAACTATATCTAGATCATATCTTTGATTAGGTAATTTCTGATGACAGTTTAAAATGTTCTTATTTGTATTTCCCACATTTTCACTCATTTCCATCTGCCTGAAGTCACCAAGGAGATAACTATATCTAGATTATATCTTTGATTAGGTAATTTCTGATGACAGTTTAAAATGTTCTTATTTGTATTTCCCACATTTTCACTCATTTCCATTTCTTTTGTGAATATGTGACATGTTAAAGTGTCAGCATAAAGTGACTGAGTTAAGTTCATATTCATAATGCTGTAAACTTGATTGAATAAAAAAATTGTAAATCATTAAATTTAGAATTCTAATACTGTATAGTGAGGTAAATTCATTGAACTCAGTTAAACGTATTTACAACATAGCATTTATCTTCTTATTAATTACAGATTTACAATGAGAATTCACATCTTCATTACACATTATTAGTTATGATCATTGTCAAAAGAACTCACAAATAAGTAGTTATATAGATAAGTAACAACAAGTCAAAGTAAATATTAACTTCTATTCAATCTGTCAATAAAGTTTTTATCATCTGCCTATGGAGAAAATCATACTTTTTATTTATTTAGATTTTAAACATATAGATATTTTTTAAATGTAAACCATTTTTTATTGGACATTTTAAAAATGTTTACAGGGCTTTAGAATTTTTTATTTATTTATTTTTTTTTTGATTTAGATTAAGTTCTTTGTAACAGTAATAATTGCCTTTTAGTAGCATATTCATATAATCAATATATGAAATCTTCTAACAGGGCCTGATCTTCACAGGAAAGAAAGCTTATTTAGCACTGCTGCTTTAATTGGTGTTCTAAAGCAGAGAAATCATTTAAATGCCAATTTCATCAATGCACCTACTTTAGCTGAAGAGAAAGGCTATAAGGTAATTTATTTAAGTGAATTAATATGCTATTCAATTAGTTCATAGTTACTTTTCCTTTTAAATTTATAGCCTGCAAAGGGCTAATAATCTTATTCCCCCTCATATTATGTATTTTAATCACCGACATATTCATGCTTACTAAGTGAAGAATGAGTTTTATTTTCATAATTTATTTATCAACAGTTATAAGATTAACATTTTTGCTGTAATTGTTCTAGTGTATTAAGGAAAGGAATACAAAACGACAGTATGCTCATTATGTGATGTGACTACTAGAATAAATATTCTAACATCTCATGAAAGCAAACTATATCTATATATATATGTACTACACATTTATTTACATATTTTTACAACTAAAGTTACAGAAATATGAATCAGTTGCTGTGGCTGTTAGAAGAACATAACCTGTTTTTCCCACATTCAGAATCGTTTCTATGGGACTGTCCTCCCTTCTTTCTTTCCTCCGTAATTTCCATTCCCTGTGGCCCTAATAAATTTCTTAAAAACTGAAATTTTGCTTATGCTACATTTTGAGCTACATTTATCCTGCTAAAAGAAGTCCATAAAACATTGCATAAAATGCTGAATAAATAAAAAAAAATGCTGTCCATAAAATACTGAATTTTTTCTTCTATAAGCAATACTTTCTTTTTATGTATGTAAAATGCTTCTACCTCTCGAGGGCGCACCCATATTCACCAGTAAAATTAATTGCATAATTTAATGTGAATAAGATTTAGAATAAGTCATAACATTGATTGTTTGTAACATTCCTTGCTACTGTAAATCATCTAAGTAAAATTTTTTTTTTTTTTTTTTTTTAAAGTGCTGTATAAGATCATTCTTCAAAAGGATTAACCTCAGTTTCTTGAATGAAAAATAAATTTCAAATAAAAAGTGTTATAAATAAGGCTATGATAACATTTATATTATGAATGGTGTTTATAATGGACTCCTGCATCAGATAAAAACTACTTAGCCAAATGCAGAATACTTATGTTGTCTCCCAGCTTAAGCAGGATCATTAATGATGCTGCTAGTGTTTCCTAAAAAGTGACATAATAATTCAAAATATGTATTTATTCTGTGGACAAAGTATAAGGTGATGCGACTTATTGAATTTTACAACTGAATCAAAAATATCTTTAAAAAAACTGAAACCAACTCATTAATCTGGTAATATTACTTTGTTATATGCAGTAAAATTATGTTGACATTTTTAAGGTTTTATCTGAAATCCATTTTAAAAGCAATAAAAAAGAGGAATGAGAAAAAGAACTCCAGAAAAAAATAAAATAGCAGATTTCGAATTTATTATTATGTGTATGTTTATGCATGAAGTATTAAATGAAATAAATTACATTTAAGAAATATTACAGAAAGCTAATATATGTATAGATTAAGCTATGCAGTGTTTAAATGACACCTGCGTAAATATAAAAAAAACTTTGAAATTAACTTGAACACACTTTAGCAGAATTGTGGAGTATTTTAGTGGGTTTTAGACGTTATTTTAGTGCAAATAAATTATCAGTTTATTGTCAAAACAAATGTGAGAGATTGATTTGATTTTTCGGAGCTTTAGTATATGATCAATACTAAGTAAACTGAATTAATACAAAAATGTGACAATTTAGTAAATGTTTAATTTGGAATATTGTCACTGTATTTACAATTTATAAATGCACTACAGTTGTGTAAAGATGAACTTCAGAAAAATATGGTCATTCAAGAATTTGGAAACTTACTGTAAAGTCATTCATTGTGAAATGACTTCTCTGAATATATTTTTCTTACTTTTTAAAATGGTTTATATAACTGTTTTAATGATTCCTGTAACCGAACACAGAAATGAACTGCCCACATTTATGACTGTCGGGCCATCCTTACTGAATTGTTAAAATTTGGGGTCTTGTTTAAGAGACTGAATCTCTATGATGATCATATTTTTCAGATTGCCAGGGTTGTCATTTTTGCCCATAGCACTATTTGAATAGGCTTTATCATTGACACAACAACAAAAATAACTGCTACTACATTAGAAAGATCATTTTCAAAGCTAAAAATCATTAAAGATTACCGAAGAAATAAAACTATAGAAACATGATTAAACTATTTTTTGTTTCTTGTCATTGAGCATAAAGAAACAAGTAAAATGTAATAGATTCTTTTGCCTGAGCAAAAGCACCAAATGACTGCTTTGATTTTGTGTTTCATAGCTATATTAATTATTATGAATGTAACATGATTAGCATTTCTTCTCCTTTTTAGTTAGTTATGTTTACTAAGATTGTTTCTGTGTCATTTTATTGTTAACAAATTTCGTTTGTTATTAGAATAGTATTGAGCTGCATAAAAACATTAAATAAAAGTCAGTTATTGGACTAAAATGTATTTTCAATTCATAATTATATATGTTAGTTGTATATGTATGTAAGAAAAATAAAGAATATGTAAAAAATTAAATTAGCAACATAAATTAATTTCCCTTCTCTATTCGAAAAATAGCAACATCTATTTGCACAGTGTCATTTCGAGAAAAATCTATGTCATATGACTGTTACGTAATTCTGGTGATGTAAATTGAACTATAACTCAAGCAGCCAATAATAATTTTGCAGCAATATTAAACTATCCAATCAAAATGCTTTGAGAACCAAAACTAACTCAGTTTGACTTAAGATTTCATCCTGAACATTACGTACTTGCTTTCCACGCTTTGGCCTTGCTAAAATTATTGTGAGTGCTCTCTGTCTGCTGCTGCTTTCTTGCTACAAAGTTATCAAAAATGTAAGTCTTTTGGAACAGGCACATTTAATGTGCCGACTTGTGTATAGCCGCAAGTAGTTGCTGAAAATAAAACTGAAGATTTAATCTGCCATTGCCTCCAATTTCCTAGTCATTATGGATCAACACTTCTACACCATCAACATTCTTGCTCCTGAATATATTACACGTATGTACTTATTATAAGTTTTTCTTAAGGGTCCAAAATTTCTAGCTACACCATTGCCAGGAAGTGAAACCTAGGCATGTAGTATTTTGCCAAAAAATTGTGAGTGTTCAAATTCTCTTAAGAAGATATGTAATGGGGATGTAATGTGAATAATTACCAATAAAGTATAATAATAAAAACAGAAAATAGAAAATCGGTTCGAAAAAAGTCACTTGCCTTTTTTTATTTTTTCTTGCCTAGTTTGTATTGGAGCAGAGAAGCAGTAGAGAATAATGGTCTTACAGACTACCTAACAAAACCTCTGGAAATTTAAAAAATAGGCTGTTTCATTGATCTGATGTTGTCAAAAATATATTTCATAACATATATTTCATATATGTCAAAAGTTGTCAGCAGATTGTTTGTTGTGTAAAGTACCTCCAATACCAAAGTATACTTTTTTTTTTTTTTGGTTTCATTTTTATGTTTAAGTTTAGATAAGTTTATATCATGCTCTTTTTATGAGAGCTGTCAGTAATAAAGAGGTGTTCAGGTTCTGTAATGTTTTTACGTTTTTAGGTTTCTGGTGTCGATGTATCTTCTGCCAAAGTGGAAGGCACCCTTCCAATATCAGTCTTGTTGGTTGCTAAATCAGCAAGTCAAACACATTCTGTGAAGGCTACTTTCTGGGGAGAGGAACCCTTGTTATGTGCCATTGATGGGTGTGATTTTAATATCCCACATCCATTTTCGGATAATTTAATTGTGTGCAAAGGAACTTATTCTGCTGATACTACAGTCAACATTTTAGGTGAGGAAATTTAATTACTGATGTAATTTAAACATATTGCTTATTGCACTAAAATGTATTTAAAATTGTAATGTAATGCTTATTGGACTAAAATGTATATAAAACAAACTATTAGTACTATCTATTAGTACTGTTATGTCTGTTATGTTATGTACTGAAAATCTATTAGTACTGTTATGTTTCAAATATAAAGATTTTTACATTTGTCCTAAAATTTTTTTGTCAATTATTCACAAATTAAATATTTTTTTTTAATTTATATATTTATACATAAGCTCTGTAGTTTTTTAATTGCAGCCTTTATTTTGTTGCAAAACAGTAAATAATGGATTTATCTGTAAGTTTTATGATATTAACCCTTCAGCGGTTGCGAGATTAAGCAAATCTTTCTCCCCAAATATGTGCGATATCTGCAATCATGGTTTGATGGCTCTTTTGTATCTAAATAATTTGTTAAATGTTTGTTTCTCTGAGCAAGAAAATAGAGATCTTTTTGAAAGAGAAAATATGCATGCATCTTTATAGAAAGTTTCTGTTTTAGACTGATTTTTAAGCAAATAATAAAAATGTTATATTACATTTAAGTTAAATTAGTTAAAGTTACATTAAGTTAAATAATAAGTTTAATAAAAATAATACTTTGTTATTTGCCATTTCATGTTATTAATCTGTCACGATAATGTTTTCAACTAAATGTTTAAAATGTAACAAGATACATAAGATAATTAATGTGAAATCAATAAGGCATATTATATAATATTAAAAAATTGCATGAATATCACTAAGTGAATTTGAGATCATACAACATTATATATTATATATATATATATGTATATACAGGGTGCCAACTAAAGTCTGGTACCACTCGTTTAACTGCTGATCGGTTATAGCTATAGTCATAAAAGTAGTCTCTAGGTATAGTGAAGTGGCTATGTGCTTCTGGATGAGATAGCCTACAGCATCACTTGGTGGAAAACAGAGTTAGCGTCTGTATCTCAAAAACGATATGAGATAGAAAGAAAAAGTGAATTGCAAAGTTGTAGAGCATCATTGATTTAGTACGAAAAGACACCTCATGGGCATGAATGAGAAAAGAGCATTTGTTTGTTCACTATTATTTCCTGTGACATCCTGAAAGAAGGAAAAAATAATTAGTTATCATAAGTTATCTTTATTTTCAATGTTCAAACTTCTGTCTATCAGCTGAAATGACCAACTTCATGTTAAACACCTTGTAGCATAATGGATGGCACGTTTGCACCAGCATTTGTAATACCTTGTAGAAGGTCTGGCAATGTTTGTGGAGGGGTCACATACACCTAATGCTTGAGGTATCCCCACAGGAAAAAGTTCATTGGAGGTCAGATAAGATGAATGTGGAAGCCACTCTTCAAAACCTCCTTACACAATTATTCATTCTCTGAATTCCTCCAGCAGATACTGCTTCACTTGTGACGTCGGCTGGACTTCTGTCTGGTTCGTGAGGAATTTGCACCACTGTCTGGTTCATGACAAAGTTGGAATAAGTGTAAGAAAGTCTCTTGGTATCCCCATCCAGTAATGCCTGATTAGGTGTTGGCTGGTATGGATGAACAACTAATTAATTTAGGATTTTCCAAACACAACTTTTTTGAGAGGCTACAGTTTTCACTTATCTTTCTCGTGCTGTTATTTGGATACATGAAGGCATATGATAAGACATGTTCCTGTTGTACTTTCTGCCCTACCTTAGCTGGTCTGCCGGATCGAAGTTGGCTAGTCAAGTAGCCTGTTTCCCTTACTGGCTTCCAGTATTGTATATTTATCAAAGTTTACATTTGTAATTTATGGCCATAAAAATCTTCAAACTAGTTAAATGAAATGAAAACCAAATATAAAAAAAATTAAAGCTGTATTAAATTCTACATTGCCCTACGATAATAATGTGGATCATATAATTTTGTGAATATAAAAAAAGAAAATAAATTTCTTAATTATATCCGTTTAGGGAAGGCTTTAAAAATTTTCAAATATGAAAATTTCAAACACATCCATTAATATTACAAATTCACAAATATCTTCAAAATATTATAACTTAAATAAATTTTCATTTGAAACAATAGACTATTCTTATCGAAATTTCGAATTTACTTATTTTGTACAAACTGGAAGACCCTGCAGCTTTCCCCTAGTAAACACATATCTAGCTATTCGGGCAGTTACATGAAAAGGCCTCTGTGTCTTTTATAAGGTAACTGGCCTTTTGCGAACTACATTATAACACTCCATTTATAAAAAATTAACCATTCTATTATATAAAAAAATAAAATTAATTATGTACAGAAAAAAGTATAAAAGTGGGAGCCTTCAAAGTTTATTTGCACATATTATGATCCTTAAATTTTAAAATCAGTTAACATAATTCCTTACTACTTATGATTCCTATAATACTACTCAAAAACTGTATTTGTTTACCATATTTTATACAAATTTTTCATAATTATTTCATTCACTTAAAAATTCTTATCAACAATTCAAAATTTTCAACATAAATTCAAAAATATGATTATTTACCTGAATATCCTTCCCTATAAATAGTTTAAATAGCTTAAAATTCGTTACTTAACTCGTAACATAAGCTTACACATACTTATGAAAATTTAGAAAAATTAATGAACAAGAATTTCACATTTTTGCAAAACAACAAAATCAAATTGCAGAAATTTTAACCAAAAAATAAATAAAAAGATTAGAATTCACAACATAGTAAATAATTTTGTCTCGTTCCTGAGTTAAATTCACACGAAGATAACTTTCGAGCTGTCGATTGACTGTTAGAAAAACAGAAGCACTAAAAATTTTCTGTCGCACATGCTTGCAAAGCACAAGCACAGATCGACCTTGAACCCACTGTAATGCTGAATTTCCCTAAGCGCTAAGTTTCACTGATGATTTAAAGCACTTTGTTAAGTTAGAATACAGCGCCACCTATTGGGTAAGGAAAGAAACACTCACTTGGCCATCTAGATTCGGCTAAGCAACATGCCAGAGCATGTAATAGATCTGAATTTAGTTAATTACTGTCAATAAATTAGTTAGTTCTTTGCTAGACAGTCCACTCATTAGTTTAGAATCATATTACGTACTTTTTTTCCCTTTATAAATACTGTAGAGATGGCCAAAGTAAATTTAATTTTCTTTCTCACTAGGCATTTGAACTTCTAGATTTATCGGCAGTTACTTTCATTCTGTAGACACTATGTGTGATTTTTTTTTTTTTTTTTTTTTTGTGTGAAGTACTTGTAAGACACGATAGCAGAAGGATGATAGTTCATTTTTTAAGAAATAAAATCTGAAAAAACAGATTTGATGATTCACTGTTCACATTGCCTTTGAATTTATCACAAAACGATGATTTGAAGAGCTGAATAAATTTTCCATTAAGGTCTCAGGCTGCAGGAAACTTTTCTATCGGACTAATTTGACATAATAATAGCAAGCAAAAGATGGGAGCACTGTTGATGCATAATACCAAGATAAGATAGATCGTCGATCCATATTAGAGAGGAAGCATTATGATTGCGTAGTATGCTAATATGTTGCTTTGGTAATGTCTAAAGAACTTGGCAGATGAGGCGGTTTTAATTTCATTTTTATTTTCCAGTTGACGTTTGTGTCTGCAATCACTGGGCACTATTCAAGAACATTTACATTTTTGATATTATAGCAATAGCAAGCAAGACAGCGAAATTACATCCTACCAGAACAGAGAGTGAAGCTGAAGTGCATAGTTATCCTATATGGAAGCATGTGAAGAGAAAAGTTTTCATTCCCAATTATTACGTCATCAGCGCTGCGCACCCTGCAAAAAGGAAAGATCTAGAAATTACACAATCCAGAGAAGTTATTACGATTTTTAAAACAGAGAGGGATAATTAATGTTTTACTGTTTGTTTAAATTATAATTTTGATTTAGATATTTTTTATCTTGCATATTTTGCTCTACGCGAACAGGCAATCTCTAATTAACTTCAGGATCTTTTCCCTAGACCAGTACTATCAAGAACATTCTGGCATGTTACATAACTACTGCTATAAATGAAGAATTCGTGCCATTTTTCATGAGACTGCTCCCTGCCATCGCTTTGATAAGACCTTGTGCGGCTCTGTCGCTTCTTCTTTCCTTTGTTAAAATGGTTATGACATCAAAAGTTTATCCTTAACCTTATCTTAATTTAAATCATTATTGAATATGTAGTTTTAGGAGAATCTGAAAGAATAATGATCTGCCATTTTAAGTGAATAAGGATTTGGAGTTTTAAAAGATGAAATCTTTCAGTGTCATCATTTCTGCTGTCAGCCACTCAGCCATGTCCAGATTTTGATGCCAAGCTTCACTGATGTGCCCAACTGCCAAAACATATATATATGTATATGTACACATATTGTTTACTTAGAACACTCGAATCATCTTCAAAACAAATATCTGTGTCTGAATAATTTTCATTCTTCTGTGAATTTATGTGATTTTTAGTATCTAAAGAATATTTAAATTGTTAACTGAGTTACTACTCTGAAACAGTAATTTAGTTTTAGCAGAACGTATTTATCAGACCTGCTGTCACGTAGGACCTCGGGGACAGTAAATGAAAAATTTTGAAGCTTGTTCGAAGGTAAATTCTTCAGGCGCATATTTCCATAAGCATTAAGGAAACACAATATAGGATAAGTTTTGAATGGTATGAATTTTAGAAAGACACTGAGTAAAATTTATTAAAGTTAATAAAACAAATTAAGAATAGTAGAGCAACTGATAAACCAGCTAGGTCACAGAAATAACTAAACAAAAAATTTTCCTGACCCGCATTATTGAAAATTTCTTTTCAATCACAATTTTTTCAAACTTTACAAAATTTTACTGTTGAGGAGACCCTAAGATGTATAACATCAGTGTACAGTCATATTTAAAATTACAAATGCTATTAATTAGTTAACTTTTTAATAGAAGTTTGATGATTTTTGCTAATATTTTGTAGAATCAAATATAAAAAAGAGCATTTTGTTAAATGAAAATTATCATTATTTTAGAAATTTTAAAATTTGCAATTTTTTTTTTAACTGCGCACAAGTGAGTGATCTGAAATTTAGAAAGTTATTTTCTTACTCCTGTGCATTTTCTTTTATTTTAATCAGGAAAGGATGCATTTGTTTTAATGACAGTTTTTCTTTACTTTCATAAATTTTCTATTTTCTGTTTTTATTTAAACAGATTAGGAATCAACATTATGAAAGAACCCAATAAAAAATGTTTTGATTTTATTGAATTGTAAATTATTTAAAAGAGTTGCATTGGTTTTAAAAACTCAGTATTGACGAATTATACGATTTAATCATTAAAATTTTAAGGCTATATTATAATACAGCCTGTTTATTCTATAAATATCAAATTAAGACTATTGTGGATGATAATGAATGAGTGGTATATTCTGGTCAAAATGTCAGATATATTTTTCATTAACAAAATTTATATTTTACTTTTTAGGAGCTTTGATGGAGAAAGGTGTTGTGAGTACCATTTCATGGTCAACAGTGGATAATAAATTTTGGTGTGCCATTAGTAGTTCTATCACATGTGATGGCATGCCAAATAGTGTTTCCAAATATGCAGATCTTTGGGCCCAATTAAATCTTTAAATAAGCTTTATATTTCTAATCAACATTCCTTTCTCTTAATATTCCAAAGTATTTTAGAAAATATTTTTACTTTCCTGTTAAAGAAAACTATGCAAGAGTTTTTTATAATTCATTTTGCTCAAATTTATTTCCATATATAAAATAAGTTCTATTATATGACTGTTTCTAATTTAATGTTTGTTGTTTATCTGAAGATTTTTCAGAGTAACGAATTAGAAATATATATACAGCACAACTGTTAGATGCCATTCAATATTTTGTTGTTGTTTCCAGTAAAGCTATTAAAAAAACCGTTGAACTTTTAAACTAAATTTTTATTTTTTGTATTAACTTTCTACGAAACTGCTATATATGAAAAGAGTATTAGTGTTAGTTGGTTGATTTACAGAATATTACATTTCTTCCAGGCCAAGTTTTATATATATTATATATATATATATATATATATGTAGAGCTTTAAGTTGCTTGAAAAATCTATTTGGCAGTTGTAATAACTTTTGTATTCATCTTTATGGTTACAATAAAGCCATTTGAGCACAAAGAAGCTTTGTTTTATATTGTTAAATCTGTTTTACTTACCTATTACTGATTTTGTTTCTTTCTTTCTTTTTTGTTTTGTTTTTGTCATGGGCTCTAATGTATATATATAGACAATATAAATTACAGTATAAAAATTCTAATGGTATTAATGTATGGTTGAAGCTATGCAACTCATTAATAGCTTGAGAAGTTATGCATACAATATATAATCAGTGGACTATTGCATCTTTGGTAATTGGTTCAATGTAATTTTTCTAAATGTTTGCTCAAAATTAGCTTATTTAAGATCATCATTAATCTGAGGGCAGTTAAAAAAAGACAACAAAGAAAATAAACCATATTATAAACAAGAAAAAATTTTTAGCAATTTACCTTCATTATTCAGCTGTTTTATCTGGAGAATAAACCCATTTGGTTAACCCCTTATTCGTCTCACCCGCCTCTCATATGGACAACTAATATGAATAAATTTTGTTGTGCCAATATCTCGCACGAGCTCTGCTTTTGCGATGAAAAGTCAAGGAAATGCCAATTTGTATCATGCCTGTATCAATTATATTTACACTGACGACTTACAGTTGGCAGCACAGTACTTGTAAGTTGATTAGATAACAGTAGTATGTAGGTTCAGAATATTTTTCCCATTAGAACATATTTTGAAAGGATGCAGTTTGTGCTCATCGCTTTTTCATGTTTAATGTGTGTAAAATGAGTAGTTCAAGTTCTGAAGAGCATTTAAGTCTTGAAGAATCATGAAGTGATTCAGAAGGCAGCTTTTTTTCAGATACTTTTGATTCTGAAGTATCGGATTCTGAAGATAGTGACAATGGTGATGATCCCGTGCAACTTTTACCAGGGCACCAATAAAATCAAATTATGCTGGATGTCCCAGATATTTGTCCTCCACGTTTTTAGTTCAAATTACAGTCTGTACAATTAATATTTTATTTTAAGCCATTGCATGCATTTTACAATATTATGAGCATTTTATAAATAGTGAAATAGTGGATATAATTGTAGACTAATCGTTAATGCTGAGTAATCAGGTAATGCTGTTGGTAAAAGGAAACTGAAAGGTAGAAGAGAATGGAAACCCGCATTGGCACATGAAATGCATTTGTTCCTTGCCCTTTCAGTTTTACAAAATATTATAAAAAAATCTGAAGAGAGCATATATTGGACCAAGAAACATCAGTAGAAACTCCTTTTTTTCGTAAGATTATGTCATGTAATCGATACTGTGAAATAAAAAAATACTTGCATTTTATGAACAAGGATTCTTATGATCCAGAAAATCATCCTAACCTGAAACTCTACAAAATTTAGCTTATCTGTGAACGAATATATCAAAATACGTATAAAGTAAATGAATAAAGTATATCAAAAAACAATTACTCCAGAAAGAGATATTACCATAGATGAAACGCTGATGTTGTACAAAAGGCATTTATCCTGGTGCCAGTATATACCCTTGAGAAAAGCAAAATTTGGTATCAAAACTTATGTGCTAAGCGAATCTAGTTCTGGTTATATATGGTCATTTATTATACACAAGGTTGTTCAATAAGTTCGCAGAACGCCATCTATTCATCAATATTAGACCTAAAACTTCGACGCCATTTTCATATTTGTTCTTTCTTAGGAACACGTCAAAAGTTTCATTTCAATCTGTTAATTTATTCATTGTTTAACCGCCCTTTATATCTAACGTGTTGTGGCTTTTTTCAGGTATGGATAAAATAGAGCAACATGCAGTTATCAAATTCTTTGTAAAGAAAGGTTTAAAGGCAATGGAAATTCATACTGAAATGCTGAATGTGTTGGGTGAATCTGCTCCTTTAAAAACAATGGTTTGCAAGTGGGCTAGTTTATTCAAAAGTGGTCGTACCAGCCTTGAAGGCGATCCGCGAGAGGGACGTCCAAAAACTGCATCAACACCGGAATTCATCGGAAAAATACAAGATATGGTATTAGAAGACCGTTGATTGACTGAAAGAGATTTAACAGAGGCTTTAGGCATTTCATTGGGAATTGGGCACAGTGAGCATATATTTTGAGTCTGTAAAATTTGGGTTTCAAAAAACTCTGTGCAAAATGGGTGCCTCATTCTCTAACGATGGAGCAAAAACACATTCGGATGCAAACTTTGCCAGCAACATTTGGAGCGTTTTAAGAAGAATAAAAGCGACTTTATCCGTCGATTTAATTCACAATGGATGAGACTTCGGTCTACCATCATGATTCTGAATCAAAACAGGAGGCTAAGGAGTGGTGGTGTAAACCCGGCTCTTCGGCGCCGAAGCGAGTTTGTGTGCAAAAATCAGCCAAGAAGGTGTTAGCATCAGTTTTTTGGGATGCGAAAGGAATTTTGTTTTTAATAGATTATTTTCAAACTGGCAAAGCAATTAATTCGGATTATTATTGTAACCTTTTGAAACAATTAGATGAAAAAATTCGTGAAAGAAGACCCGGATTACAGAAGAAGAAAATCATTTTCCACCAAGATAACGCACCTGCGCACACAGCTTAAAAAACCATTGCTAAAATAAATAAATTGAAGTATGAATTGTTGCAACATCCAGCCTATTCGCCAGATTTAGCTCCCTCCGACTTCTGGCTCTTCCCACACCTCAAACAATATCTCCGTGGAAAACAAGTTTCTTCAAATGAAGAGGTAATAGCTGCTGTGGAGAGATATTTTGCAGAGCTGCCAAAAACCACTACAGTCAAGGGATCCATAAAATTAGAAGACCTTTGGAATAAGTGTATTGAAGTTGAGGGAAACTATGTTGAAAAATAAAGTCATTTTTACAAATAAAAATTAGTTTCTTCATTTCTGTTCCGCGAACTTATTGAACAACCTGGTATACCGGGAAAGGTACTTTGTTCATCCTAAATTCCGATCTCTCTTGGTACCTTCACAATTTGTTATGATTCTGATGATGAAACAAGGCTACTGCATCACTTTAGGTAATTATTATACTTCAGAATTATGTGATATCTTTATCAAACAGATGTGGTTGGAACTGTTAGACAAAACAAAAAGGATTTATCTGTAGCATTGAAAAATAAAAAATTAAAAAGTGACGAAATTATATCATTTAGACATAGCAAAATCCTTGCTCTCAAATGGAAGGACAGAAAGCAAAGTAACAATGTTATGATCTTTTCATGATTCTGAAACTGTTAAAGTAATGACCCAAAGTAAAAAACTGAAAACAAAACCAAAGGTAGTAATTGACTACAATAACAATGGAAGATATGGATCTTGTAGATCAATACCTTTCTAGTTATCAAGTAGGAAGAAACGGTAGGGGGGGGGGAGTATAAAAAATTATTCTTTCACCTTTTAGACCAATCTGTTTTCAATGCTTTTCAAGTTTATAAAAAAAGTTGCATTTAAAGTTTAGACTGGATTTAATAGATGAAATAATTGACAAATGTCATGCTTTTATCAATATTTCAAGACGAGGTCGTCTATTGAGTGAAGTGCCATCAAATCATTTATTTGAACGGCATTTTTTTGAAACCTATACCACCTACAGAAACAAAAAAAACCTTCCATAGGATGTAAAGTGTGTTCATTAAAGAAGAATGCAAATGGAAAACGACTTAGAAGAGAAACGAGGTATTCGTGTAAAGATTGCAATGTAGGACTGTGCATACCATGTTTCAAACTTTGCTATACCCAGGAAATTCATTAAATTTTTAAAAAAATATTACAGCTATTATTGATATTGAATAAAAACATCACAATTTGCAGATAATAATGTGCATTATTTAAACTACGTGATTTTTCTCTCTCTAAAATTTACATGCAATTTCAAATGCCTGCGTTAGAGCTTTTCTGCCTAGCTTGGGTGTAAGAGGAGAGCCAAATATAAAGTAAAATAAGGTAAGTTTTTAAAAAAAAAAAAAAAAATAAAAAAAATTTACATATGTACAAAAAAAAAAAAAAAAAAAAAAAAAAAAAACTCAAATTTAAGGAAAAATGTAGTTTTTTTTATATGAATTTATTTTAAATTTTATAACATTAATTAAAAAATTGATTATTTTTGAATAAATTTTGTCAAAATTTTGCAATGAGTAAGGGGTTAAGTAGATTAAATTGGTATAAGCATGTTTTTGTGAGTATTTATTATTGTATTTTTTACTTTAAAGGCAATGGTGTTTGTTTTTTAAAAAATATTCTATCTAGCCACTTATTAGATTGGTTATTTTAAAATGAAGAATTTTGAGTAATATATGGGTTCTTTGCATTATGGAAAGAGATACCTTAACTGCAAAATACATGTAGTCCTGCTCTCAAATTACCAAATTTGCCACATGTAGCCATCAAATTCTGAACATATATAGTTCTGCATTTGAACATGCATACCTCAAAGCTCACATTTTGAACAGATATATATTTTTAAATTTTATATTCTGTGCAAATTCAATTAATTTTTTATATTTTATCACTGCCACAGATAATAATTTGTCATCTCACAATTTTATATCATTGTAAACTACAGACGTTTTCCCCTTAAATAAAGTGTCCTCTGTATTTTAAAAATTCAATTTTTACTTCCTTTTACGAAGTAAAAAGGAAGTATTGTAATCGCGAAAAGCTTCAGGCAGCATATTTCAACAAAAGTATCCACTTTGACCGCTTTTGAATGCAATTTAACGATATTTTTGCGTGATATCTGTACGTAAGGACAGAATAAAAGACCCTCCCAAAAAAAAAAAAAAAAAAAAAAAAAACTGCTTTAAAATGAATTCTGAAGAGAATTTTTCGTGGCTTCTGTACGAACGTATGTATGTACATGCATACATGTACATAAGTCAAAACGATAGCCCTCGAACATTGAAAATTTTGTATATAAGACTACTACAGTCAAAAGTCGTCAAAACTTATCCTCAGAACTTGTCGTTCGGTATTACGATACAGTCAAAAGTCGTAATCCTTTCGGGACTTCGGTGATTCCGATTATCGATTTTCCGATTATAGATCATCAG